TTTTTTTTACCATGAATTAAAAGTTTGGCCTAGTTATCAAAAAAACCTGCTGACCAAATGCATTCTTTATTCCATAGGAAAATACTCTTTTGTACTCTTACTTCAACACTCAACAGTACTCGTAACAATTTTCTGAATTTACTATGATTTTTGACCTTGACGGTTAAAGCAGATTTAAAAAAAAAACAATTATATATATTATGTACTATTTATATATATACTTTACTAGTAATACACAGTTGCAATTAAATACACAAAGCCTCTCAAACATACAATTTCTCATTCCTTTATCAAACAATATTCGGAACATAAAGAAAAATGTACCTCCTTAAAACGACAAGAGTCAAGTAAATGTATGTAGATACATGTAATTTATAAGCGATCTACAAAGTCTGTTATTCGGATAAAGAGTTCTGTTGCTTCTTCTACTGTGTTTGGTGGGTAATTCAAACCGTTTTCCATCCATTCTTATTTGAGTACCAATAACTTCAAATTCCATTGAAACACCATTTGCAGGAGGGTAGGCACAATATTCTTGTTCTGTGCCATTCAGATTTTCAGGTACAGGCATTTTGAAATCTCTTGTTTGGTAAATTTTGGGCTGAAAATACATAACATCTGGTTTTCCAGACGGACAATCTGCATTGCGGTTTCTTCTAATTGTGTGTTCATTCCAAAGCTGTATAATTCTGTTCAGTTCTCTGGTGATAATTGGTAAGAAACAATACCAAGCACATTCCAGGTGGACTATGTCGGAGGTGTCAAAAACACCTAAATTATCCATATCCTTAAAGTAATTTATCCAAAAATTGCCACACATTTCTCGTACGCAAACACCGCCAAAATCGCTTTATTCTTGTATTTCTATAAGACGATCCATACCTAAAACTTGATAGTCCTTGCAAGGAATCCTGGTGATTCCATCGCAAATCGTATTGCAAATCTCGAACTATGGAGTTCTCAGTACCCCTGTCTGCGTATACGACTAGAGGGACCCCGTTTATTTCTTTGATATAATCTATATAAAATCTGGATACTGTAGACGTACTTTTTTCCACGGGGTCATAATTCCGCGGAATCTCAATTTCTGTTTAATCCGCGGGTAGAAAATTACGCGGATTCCTCAGACTGTCACTGTATGCATTACATTTATATTAAGTACGCTTAGACAAATTTCCGCGGAAAATTTGTGACCGCGTACATAGTGTAAATTAATACCACGCGGAAAAAAGTACTTCTACAGTATATACTCAGGGTTTTTGTTAGAATTGCAAGCTCTGAGCCAGAGAATACATCTTGAAAAGCCATCTACACAGCCATGAATGGAAATTCCGAATGGTTTTAACTTGGCCCAGCCATCTAGATGAACTTACACAAAAATTCGGCCCTTCGTTAATGTACCTTTTACGCTGAAGACGACGTTGTCTACGCCTTATTACACCTTCTGCGTCCAAAACAGTTAATGCAAGGCGCACCAATTCACAAGACACATTGAGGTTATGGTCGATTAGCAGACGCCTCCTCATTCCTCTATAGCCTATGTCACCCCGAGCCTGAAAGTTCATGTAGAATAACCGTTACAATGTCCTCTCGTCAGATTCATTTCCCTTAAAACTCGATGAATTTGTCTTGCACTAAGAGCAATGTTATTTCTGGTCGCAAGATATCCAATAATTTCCTGAATAGTATAACCAGAGTGGTAATAAACAGCAATCATTTCATTCTCGCTGAGAGGTAGTCCGTCCACAACCAAACGTTGAGCCAGAGCAGTTGTATAGATATTTTCACCATGTTGTATTTTTGTCGCTGAAAAAAAATTGGGAAATTTTTTTTATACACAATGAATTTTTGTTTTGCTTTCTACGTGTGTAAATTTACACCAAACTAAATTATTCTATAAATACACCACGATTTGGCTTGTAAGAGTTTATCATATAAAAAAATTGCAATTCAATTAAACTTATATAAGATAGCACTGTCGGGTTTAGAGGGGGCAGGGGGTCCGGGCTCCTCCTCTGTGTCCGAAATACACATAAGATTTAATAAATCAATTTTTTTGGTGTGGTCTTGGGCCCTTACCCCGACCAAAACTGGTTGGGGCCCCCCTTTTCAAGATTCCTGGATCCAACCACTAAAAATAGTGAAGAACTAAAAGTATTATGTTTAATCAAATAATAGCAACATGAAGTACACATATTATTCAAGAAATGGGCACTCTGACCAAAAGAGATATTGACATCAAGAATTACTATCAGTAAGGATTATACAAATTACCAGATTAATCAATCAAAAGATCGATCTTCATTACATCCAACATCAGTTTTATATCAGATTTAAAACAAGATTTTACCTTGTCAGTTGTGTAGAAACCAGATGAACGTTCAGAGGTTAAGCCTCTCATTCACTGCAACCACAGATTTTGATTAAACTGCACCCTCTTTCAAACAAACAGCATGCCATCATAAATAAGTTGCATGTCGACATAAATATGTTGCATGTCAACATATTCACCTTGCATATCAACATATTCATCTTGCATGTCAACATAAATAAGTTGCATGTCAACATAAATAAGTTGCATGTCAACATAAATAAGTTGCATGTCAACATAAATAAGTTGCATGGAGACATAAATAAGTTGCATGTCAACATATTTATCTCGCATGTCAACATAACTAAGTTGCATGTCGACATAAATATGTTGCATGTAAACATAAATAAGTTGCATGTCAACATAACTAAGTTGCATGTCAACATAAATAAGTTGCATGTTAACATAAATAAGTAGCATCTAGCATGTTGGATGTCACATGTGGGCGATATTTGAGATTTTTGAAGATTTTTTATAATTCTTATTTGATTGCAGTTTTCTTGCATGTCAACATATTTATATTGCATGTTGACATAACTATCTTGCATGTCAACATATTTATCTTGCATGTCGACATATTTGATAGAAAAATAACTTGCACACAAGGGGCAGAAATATGCCACCATAGAAACCCAACAGTTTTTGCTAATGCAATTCATGTAGTAAGTTTGTGTAAAAAAGTACTGTTCAAGATGTTGGACTTAGAACACCCCCCCTTCCAATAAAAAAAAATTGTCTTTTGTCTTTTCCGCTTGTAAAACTCTTTTCAAGTAAGTTTATTCCCCACCCCAAAACACATTTTCAAATTCGATTCAGATACATCATTCTTTATTAGCGATTTTCGTGAATAAGACATTGTATATGACTTAATAACCTGCTTTTAATAATAGGGGATTTAATATGAATAAATTATATAGTTTATGATAAAAATTGTGTATTTTAAGTGAATTAAAAAAATAATATGTATTCCGTTTTCCGTTCCGTTTCGCTTTCCGTTCCGTTTTCCGTTCCGCGTTTTAGCAACACCCATATATTCCGAGTTTCCTCCCTGCTGCTCTCGATGTAAATTTGTTCCGCGCATGCGCTCTACCTGGTTATAGAGGCTGGTTAATCAGTGTTAATCCTACACATCACAGAGTCTTGACTCAATCTGAGCAAAATTGAGTATATAGTATAATATGCGAACTTTTCCCCTATTATACTACATACTCAATTTTGCTCAGATTGAGTCAAGACCCTGTGCATCACATTGAAAGAAAAAGATGGACGAGTTGCAAAAACTTGAGTTTTTGTCTCTTGTATCTAAAGTTTGTACAGAACTTGAGAACCATTTGGGACTAAACGACAAGGACTTAGGTATGATTGATTGATTGTATGTTGTTTAATGTCCCTCTCGAGTATTTTTCACTCATCAGGTCCAGGAAAATCACTATCCGGGATATGTTTAGCTATCGTCTCGTAGGCCTATCGAAAACACAAGACGCTAATATTTTTGTAAGGAAAACAGTGTAGATCTACCCTCTCCATATTATGGCATATAAATAAAATAAACACAAAACTGCAATTTGGGTTATATCATTTTATTTATAGACGAATATGCTAACATTTTAAGCCCATATTTTTTCAGGTTCTATAAAGTAAGTTTGTGATATATTAATAAATGAAATCTAAATAGGTCGAAAATACAATACGCCAGGATATATAGCCTAATTAATCTATATAGGTTTATTTACCTATAAAATATAGCTTTATTTAGCTATTTTGGAATAAGTTTCTGTTTTATGAAAAGCAGACAAAAAGTCGCACTGAGGGCCTTTGAGCAGTGAGGGATCTTTTTTGTGCCAGCACCTACTGCAACACGGGGCCTCCGGTTTACAGGTTGGGGGGAAACGTAGATTCCGCTATAATAGTGGTATCTCACTATTATAGTGAAATTACGCTATATTTGCTGCCGTAGAGAGCCTCAATTTCATCGGATACTATGCAAGGCGTTAAAACCGCAAGTCATGGTGGGTATTAAAATGAACAAAAACTATCATGTTTGCATGTTTTGAATTTTAATAAATTTTCCACCGTTGCGTTTAATAATGCGAGCACTCTTTTTTTAACGGAAGTTGCATTTTTAACATAGCAACCGATGATTGCGGGGTATTTAAGACTGTTTGAATTTCACTTATTCCTCATTTATGTGCACAAATTGATGCTTGTTACAATTGTCAACTCGCACTAGAAAGGGTTTATGGAATTAAACAAGAAAAAGATTATTTCTCTCTGCATGGTTACGGGTATGGAGGCCCGTTATGGCAAATCCAAAAATCTTTTTTTTTCTATTCTTGTACTTACTTCACACATGATGTATTGTTTTCCGAAAATACGATTCACTTTAATTTCAAAGAAATATTTCTGATTTTTTGTTGATTCCTTATTTTATTTTACATATGCACACTTTTTAAAAACTTTCCTTTAGAATAAAAGTTGTAACCCCCCCTCCTTCTATGTTCAATGTTTATACTTACTCAGTATTTGGAATCTACATATTAGGTATATTACATTGTAAATATACTGAGAACAAAATAGTAATCTGTTTTTATCTAATGTAATGATGAAAAACAGAAAATTACAAAAGCAGACTCTTAACAATTTGACTTTAATCTTCTGCCGCAGATTCTTCGGAATCGACCTCGTCTCCTGAAATGATACCAATTAGACGTTAAAAAATGTTTAATGTCAGTATATATTATGCATATGAACGTTAGTAGATATTTTGTGCGGCTTCATTTGCATTATACATTTAGTCATCAAATAGCACAGAAACCACTTCTGTTTACAATCCGGGGAAAAACAAAAAGGGACAAGCTTGCCGTGGGAGAAGAAAAGGGCCCGTGAAGATAGAATACATCACAAATTCCCTGAAAAGGACGCAAACGCTTAGAAATAGGCGACTTGGAATTTTCAAACAGGTAATCCTCATGCATTGTTAGTCTAAACGAAAAAAAAAATCTGTAAATATATACCCTCAAAAACAAAAGTGGCCTCCTCTAGAGCTACAACACATTCTTTGTAGAAGGAAAGTATGACGTCCTTTTTAGCGGTGCTCAGTTTTTCCCGATGCCACGTTTGCAGCAGAATGGAAGCGGTATCAATTGATCCCAGTTTTCTAATTTCAGATATGGCACTGAGGACCATATCTGAAATTTCTCTAACCGTCTTCCTCTCAATCTTGTGAAATTCAGATCGGTCCTTTGGAAATATGAAAATTGGGATAAGTTTGTGTCCTTTTCCTAGACAAAAAATAGACTAAATTAACACTGTTGTCCAGGATGTAGAAAGATACATCTTTTTTTGTGAAACACTGTATGTTACTTCATTTCTTAAAATAATACTTCATTAAAGAAAAAAACAACAACATCTATACTCTTTTTTTCGATTTCAAAACCTTTTAAGCAGATTTGAATGGAAAACTCTATCTTCTCCTAAAAAAAGAAATTTTGTTTGAAAAGTTGGTTAGGAACCGTTTAATTAATAATAACCCTAGATTAATAACCTGGCATTTGTCCTTGCGCAATTTTTTTATGATATGATGCGCGATTTGCTTTACAGTGTGCTGCAAAATTAAGGAGTTCTTCGTCTAGCTCAATCCCATTCAGAGAGGTGTGCCGACATTCTGTAGAAGGGTTAAGGTAGTTAGAATTTCTCAGATGTTGGCGCCATTTGAAAATTTCTGTTTGAAGCGGGATTTCATATGTTGTGTCTTCCACACAGTTTTGGGTCCCAATAAAGGTTTTCCTCATCTGTATTTGAATACACAAGTGCATATTAATTAGTTTTTATTTTGATGCACATTATAATGTATCAAATATACTGGAAAATCTTGATCCACTTGGTCAATGTGCAGTTTAAATTTGTTTCTGTTTGTATCATGTTCTGGAATTTCTAAAATCTGTTGATTGTGCTTTCATTTTAACATTCTGTTCTTTCCTGTAGCTGAGAGATCTTCATATCTTGACTAAAACTGAATTTTCAGTTACCCTTGTCACTGAGATTGGGAGAAAATTTGAAGAAAGGAGCAGCAACTTTTTAAATGTATATAATTTTTTTCTTGGATAAATGATGTTATAATTTTAAATACATTCTTTTTATCATTGATGTATTGTTCTGATAATTACATATTGAATTTATTTAGGAAATTGAAGTCAAAGATATCAATAAAAATGAATCACAGGAAGTCCATATGCATCCTTCAAGCCCCCCAAGAGAAGATGAACCTGTACATACTTCCTTCCCCTCGCCTGTTGCAAAGCACAATGCAGGTTAAACTTTATAAAATTTAAAAATATAATAGCACAATGTTTTATGCAGTCAACATAAAAATTATCTTAATTCATTTATAGCTGCTGAAAAAAGGAAACGGTGTAAAAGAAACACATCTAAATCTCTGATTGATCACGTTGAAGATGATAAACTATGTCAAATTTGCATGAACAAACACAAAGGAAAAAAAGAAAAGGAAATATGGGTCGGATGCAGTAGGCATGGATGTAAAAGGAGATTTCATACCCGATGTACTGGATACATTATAACAGAGGAAGAGGTTTTGAAAAAGATGAGATATTATTGTAATGATCATAGAAATTTACGAAATGTAAAGAAGCCTTCGAAGGGAAATAAGAAAAAAATTTGAATATTATGTACAATATGTGTAAGATAAAAACAGTATATAAAATAGTATAAATACCTTGTCTAATGTGTCAACATTTCTTACTGATCTAAGCCATCTGCTTTCATCAGGAATTGTGTGTGTGTGTGTGTGTGTGTGTGTGTGTGTGTGTGTGTGTGTGTGTGTGTGTGTGTGTGTGTGTGTGTGTGTGTGTGTGTGTGTGTGTGTGTGTGTGTGTGTGTGTGTGTGTGTGTGTGTGTGTGTGTGTGTGTGTGTGTGTGTGTGTGTGTGTGTGTGTGTGTGTGTGTGTGTGTGTGTGTGTGTGTGTGTGTGTGTGTGTGTGTGTGTGTGTGTGTGTGTGTGTGTGTGTGTGTGTGTGTGTGTGTGTGTGTGTGTGTGTGTGTGTGTGTGTGTGTGTGTGTGTGTGTGTGTGTGTGTGTGTGTGTGTGTGTGTGTGTGTGTGTGTGTGTGTGTGTGTGTGTGTGTGTGTGTGTGTGTGTGTGTGTGTGTGTGTGTGTGTGTGTGTGTGTGTGTGTGTGTGTGTGTGTGTGTGTGTGTGTGTGTGTGTGTGTGTGTGTGTGTGTGTGTGTGTGTGTGTGTGTGTGTGTGTGTGTGTGTGTGTGTGTGTGTGTGTGTGTGTGTGTGTGTGTGTGTGTGTGTGTGTGTGTGTGTGTGTGTGTGTGTGTGTGTGTGTGTGTGTGTGTGTGTGTGTGTGTGTGTGTGTGTGTGTGTGTGTGTGTGTGTGTGTGTGTGTGTGTGTGTGTGTGTGTGTGTGTGTGTGTGTGTGTGTGTGTGTGTGTGTGTGTGTGTGTGTGTGTGTGTGTGTGTGTGTGTGTGTGTGTGTGTGTGTGTGTGTGTGTGTGTGTGTGTGTGTGTGTGTGTGTGTGTGTGTGTGTGTGTGTGTGTGTGTGTGTGTGTGTGTGTGTGTGTGTGTGTGTGTGTGTGTGTGTGTGTGTGTGTGTGTGTGTGTGTGTGTGTGTGTGTGTGTGTGTGTGTGTGTGTGTGTGTGTGTGTGTGTGTGTGTGTGTGTGTGTGTGTGTGTGTGTGTGTGTGTGTGTGTGTGTGTGTGTGTGTGTGTGTGTGTGTGTGTGTGTGTGTGTGTGTGTGTGTGTGTGTGTGTGTGTGTGTGTGTGTGTGTGTGTGTGTGTGTGTGTGTGTGTGTGTGTGTGTGTGTGTGTGTGTGTGTGTGTGTGTGTGTGTGTGTGTGTGTGTGTGTGTGTGTGTGTGTGTGTGTGTGTGTGTGTGTGTGTGTGTGTGTGTGTGTGTGTGTGTGTGTGTGTGTGTGTGTGTGTGTGTGTGTGTGTGTGTGTGTGTGTGTGTGTGTGTGTGTGTGTGTGTGTGTGTGTGTGTGTGTGTGTGTGTGTGTGTGTGTGTGTGTGTGTGTGTGTGTGTGTGTGTGTGTGTGTGTGTGTGTGTGTGTGTGTGTGTGTGTGTGTGTGTGTGTGTGTGTGTGTGTGTGTGTGTGTGTGTGTGTGTGTGTGTGTGTGTGTGTGTGTGTGTGTGTGTGTGTGTGTGTGTGTGTGGTGTGTGTGTGTGTGTGTGTGTGTGTGTGTGTGTGTGTGTGTGTGTGTGTGTGTGTGTGTGTGTGTGTGTGTGTGTGTGTGTGTGTGTGTGTGTGTGTGTGTGTGTGTGTGTGTGTGTGTGTGTGTGTGTGTGTGTGTGTGTGTGTGTGTGTGTGTGTGTGTGTGTGTGTGTGTGTGTGTGTGTGTGTGTGTGTGTGTGTGTGTGTGTGTGTGTGTGTGTGTGTGTGTGTGTGTGTGTGTGTGTGTGTGTGTGTGTGTGTGTGTGTGTGTGTGTGTGTGTGTGTGTGTGTGTGTGTGTGTGTGTGTGTGTGTGTGTGTGTGTGTGTGTGTGTGTGTGTGTGTGTGTGTGTGTGTGTGTGTGTGTGTGTGTGTGTGTGTTGGTGGACCTGGTGGCATCCAGCACTTAGTTTTCCTATTGTAGGCTTCTAAAGCAAAGTCCCCTCCCTCGCCTTTACTTGTATGGCCCGAAACTGAGAAAGATTCATTCCTCGTTATAAATTGTTTTACGTCTGCTGGCGCTAACACTCTCATGCGCAGATCTTTGAATTCAATTTCTTGATAATGAGTCATGTTCAGACCATAGAATAAATTAGCAAACTTTGTTCTGCCAGCAAGCATTACAGAAGAATTGTTCCGCCTTGTTCCAGTGCGAAAGAGGACAAGGGAAAGGCAATAAGTGAATACAATATCTTTCATAAAGATGAAGTTAGGATTGGATGCGTTGTTCAAGAATTCATAAAACTCTTGAAGAGATGGAGTTTTCTCGTGGTTTATGCATTGTCTCACATATGGAAGAATAAGCTCATCACAGGTTCCAAAGAAAAATATACAGAACGCTTGCCATGATTTGTGATGATCAAACGCATTTTTGAAACTAGAAAGAGCTTTCGTAGTCTTAAAGTTCAACATTTTTGCAAGATCAACTAAAATAACATCAAAAAGAAGTTTGAAAAGACCCTTCACCATATTCATTTCATAGTGACCTAATCCAGGTATGATAAGTAAATCTTGTAATTCTCGATCTTTTTCAACTGTACGTGAACCAAGAACATACGGCAGACCATCCGATCCGACTACTGTCCACTTCCGGTCACTTCCAACGCTGCATCTACCTTTTATGTCTTTCAAGATTTTGCAGACAGAAGAATATGAACATGGATTGCTCATGCAAGGCTCCCCCATTAGAAGAGTCGGGGCTACTTGTGGATGTCTGTGTTCAAATGTTTCATATAATGTCTGAAGTGAGTATTTGGTTCTGTCCAGAATAGAATTTGTGTCAATGTCATCTTTAATCTCACCGTTCAGTTGTGTTTGCTGGTCATACACCATCATGATCCTACGTCGTAAAAAGTCATCTCGTAGTTGGTTAAAGTCAATGGAAGATGCATGAATAAAATCATTTACAAGTTTAATCTGCTCTTCGGATGATAGTTGAGAGCTGTACAACCAAAGAAAAGGTGACAGTTGTGGCTGATGCTGCAACTTGACACAAGTTTGAGGAAACAGATGCAATAATGTAGTAATAACGCTTGTTTTTACTTGTGCATTGTGTCTAACCCTCCAGTTTCTGCACAAAACTTGATTGTTATCATAAAAGCTGATAGCATCTTGATTGACTGGACAGATAATTTCTGAACCACTTTGTTCTTTCAACCACCTCAAAATCGTTTTGTAGGAACCCGCAGGTTCAGTCTCAGAATTAAAGTCACACAGGGTCTTGCTACCAGAAAAATGATAACTGATAATGTTTCTAGCAAATGCTAAGGGAGTTACGAGGTTTGAAAGGCTTGCCTTATACAAGGACTCAATGCACGATACAAGGGCAACACACTTCTTATTGTTCTCTAAATCTGATTCATGTATGTTGGCAGTAGACATTAAAAACTCAACAACAATATCATTTCGAGATTTCAGCCATGTTTTCGGATTAAAATTTACCAGTTTTTCTGTATTTCTATAGTCATTTTGAACTGTTAAACAGTCTTCTTTAACACTGTTTGATATACGTTTCCCGATTGCTGATGCAATATCTTTCAATTCATCCATACTACATTCCGTTTCAATATGCTGAATAATTTCATCTTGAAACGTTTTCGACTTTTTTGAGTATGCACTGAAGTCATTAACACACGATGTACAAATATAATTGCCCCTTTTTCGCGGAATTGAGTCAATGATATTTTTAGACACTTTTTTATGCTGAATATTGAGCAGTTGTGATTGGTTGTTTGATGTTTCCTTGTGTATTAAGCTACAACACTCTGGTGTAAATCTAGAAGTCTGAAAAAATTAATACTTTTAGCATGATTTTTTAAATTCATATGAATATTAGATTTATATTTTTCGAATAACGAGAAAAAAATCTAAAGCTATTTCTCTCAGATTTTAAAGTTAAATCCTTCTTGCTTAAGTGCATAACCATAAAGTGTTAAATAAGATGCGTTTGTGTGGAGTAAAAAAGATTGTTAATTCATAATTATTTGAACATGTGTTAAAATAAGGTTACAGGCACTCTTGTCAAATACCGGGTATTCCCGACACCAAAGTAAATTGAGTCTTTTTTTCTAAAATAAACAATTGACCACCCGAAATTAGAAATGAGATATATTTTCTAAAATTGTTTGTATCATTACGCAGCACAGTTAAGGTTACAAATGGAAATATCGGCGATTTTTAAAGATAAAAAATACGTACTTTATTAGGATGGGCGATTCTTTTTAGGAATTCACTGATATAAAAAAAAATGTAATGTGGTTTAAATCTACATGTTGGGGACATTTAGTTTTTTTTTTCGACTTTTCATGTGATGTCGACGGCACATGACTTTGTCGATTATACTTGCAGTTTAAAGGTCATCTATAAATTTCAATATTGCAAGGGCATAACCAAGTAAAAAATCTTGGTTTATTTTATAATCCTTTTCAACACTATATGTAGTTTGTGAAAAGTGCTGCGAACCTATATAGATTCCCTTTTTTAATTGGTAAAATTTAATTTGTTTGACGGCAGGTTGAATATTTTGCTGGTCAACAACATTAAATATAGCTATAATTAATTTATTTGAAAGATTTCAAGAGGTTCGCAGCACTTTTCAAATATCTTAATGCTTCTAGAGTTTATGTGTAAAATTTTGACAAGATACATTGAGGGTATGCCCTTGCAATAAATCGATTTATTAGGGCCCTTCCATTACTTTTTCATTGAACCTGCATACAAACACACGA